GTTGAGAAGATCCACTGGAACAGGAAATGGCAACCCACTCCAGTGTTCTTACCTGGAAAAATTCCACGGACAGAGCAGCCTGGTGGGCTACAGTCTGTCCAATAGAACTGTAATTGTGGCAGCAGATCCAGAAAGCTCCTTGAACAGGTTCGGGAGAATTTCAGAAGCTTAAGAAAGGGTCTCTGTCTCATCCCAATTCTCTCTCTTAAAAAGCAGTGATTATAAGGCTGGACAACCTTTTTCTATAAAGGACCAGATGGTAAGTGTGCTACTTGGGGGACTCTTTGATCTTTGTCACAGTGACTCAACTCTGCCATTGTGGTGCCATAGGCAATATGTAAATGAATGAGCAGACCTATGTTTCAATAAAACTTTATTTACAGAAACAGGCTCCTGGGCTGGATTTGGCTTCCAGACCATAGCTGGCTAACCCCCGATTGACTGATCATGGAGTGTTGTGATGTGTGGTAAAACCAGCACATGGGGATTCACTAAGATTCTCATCCAACTCCCTTTGTGTTTTATGGAATATTTTTCCTTTCTCATTATGAAAATCAGACATGATCAAAAAACCCAGAAAACTTAAAATTCATCCATAATGCCATCAAACATGCCACCACTTGTAATGCTTTGAGATTTTTGTTTGGGATTTTGTTTTATAGAATCAGGATAATGCTGTATTTACTGCAAATCTACCTAGTTCTCGTATTTTTATGCTAAGTTTTACATTTCTACTTCATAGATTGCTCATTTTCAGGAGCCAGGAGAAACTCCAGCAACATCATCATTTCTCTCACATTTACAATTAGAGGCTGTGGGACTTGAGATTTGGAGAAACTTATACAGAGAAGGGAGCAGAAAGGATACTGCCTAGTGACTGCCAACAGCACATTCCACCAAGGTCAGGCTGTAGAACAGCCCCAGAGAGGAGTGTGTCTGTGTGTATGTGTGTGCACGTTGGGGAAACAACTTGTCACTAATATAGCTTCCTGAGGCCCCTGTTAAAAATCCTTATGTCGTCAGGAAATTCTGTAGGTAGTATACAGTCCAAGTTTTGAGACGCACTGTGGGTTCATGGGGTTCAGGACACATCACCCGCAAATACAGCTCTTTGGCCACTGAATATTTTAAGCTAAATGAGTCTGAGAAAGCAGCAGCAGCAGGAAGGTCACTCTGATCTTCTCCTGCCCTTCTCCCCTGAAACAGGTCATAAAACCCTCATGTGAGAGGTGCCCTCAGAGCATATACCTCAGAGGTATACTCAGAGCAGAGAAGCATCCTTATCCCCAAAGACAAAGAGATGCCAAGAAGAATGCAAACAGACAGGACTTGCTGTTTCCCCCAGTTTGGTACGCTAGCACCACACTACTTATCCTATTCCTCCACGAGGGTCTACACTCATCAAATGCAGTGCAGAAACACTTAGCTGTTTCTTCGGGTCCTCAGGAAGCCAGGGCACCCATGTCATGTAAAAATTCGTACATCTCAATTCATAGGTTTTTCTCTGGTCAGTTTGCCTTTAATTTTCAGTCCAAGCCAGGGACCTTCAGAGAGTCAAGGAAAACCTTTTCCTGCAGGGTGTATGAGAGAGGGTATTCCTCTACTGAGGCAGCTTTGACCATTCTATCACCTCAAGTCAGGACCCTCTCCAGCTCAGATGACCCCACTTTTTCCTATTGCCAATCTTGGTCATTGATCTAACTATCAGTCTCCCTACCAGAGAATGTAAGGAGCTCTGATTTAAAGGGTTTAAGGAAGCAATATGTAAAACCTGATGCCAAAGCACACCACACACACACACACACAGGCATCTGGATTTTTTTTTGTGGCTTTCACATCTCACCTACTGTCCTGGTATATTCCTGAAATAAAATTATCTCTGTTCTGTTGCTGGGGACTATGTAGGTGGCTCAAGTGGTAAATAATCCACCTTCCAGTGCAGGAGAAGCAGGAGATGGGGGTTCAATCTCTGGGTCGGGAAGATCCCCTGGAGAAGGAAATAGCAACCCACTCCAGTATTCTTACCTGGGAAACCCCTATGGACAGAGGAGCCTGGCGGGTTACAGTCCATGGGGTCTCAAACAGTCCTTGCTGAAAAAGGGCGAATTTTTTGTTGGCTTATTTTTTGGCCATGCCTCACAGCTTTCAGGATCTTAGTTCCCCACCAGGGATCAAACCCTGTGCTCCCTGCAGTGGAAGTGCAGAGTCTTCACCACTGGACCCCTAGGGAAGTCCCAGGGGTGAACTTAAGCAAACCAGTATGGAATCAGAAAAAGATTTTTTACACTAGACACAAAGATAAGGAATTGAAATAAATGTAATAAGGATCTGTTACCTTGTAGGGTGAAAGTTATAAGTTGGAGAGAGTTTTTCTTCCTGGCTCCTGTGAAATCGTATTTGCTCAGTACATTAATACAAGGCAGGTGAAATGATAGTGTTTTTAATGTACAGAATTTAATTTTTTTTTTAGTACTTGGAAACCAGAAACTTGCAATGGTGAAGATGGGAATACAAACTTTGCCATCACTCAGTCCAGGGTTGAGAGGCTGGCCATCCCACAATATCCCAGGACCACATCACATGCCTTCTCTTCTGCTTACCTTTCTGGGAAAGAAGGATTAAGACAGTATCTACCTCTGGTTGCTAAAAGGGTAAAATGAGATAACTGTTGTACATCCTGGCGGCTATGAATGCAGAATAAATGCTGCTATTGTTTATAATAGAATCAGTGAGATAATTACAGATTCTCCTTGCCTGCTCATTCTCACAGGCATCTTGCTGACAACATCTTCCTTGCTAGTCTGTTCCAGCATATGTGTAAGGGTAGTAAGACAATGATTGCTATAAGTTGGACCATTAATTCACTCTAACTAGACATCCCTCAAATTAATACTAACTGGTGATGTTTACTTATAATTTCAGTAGAAGTTAGAGTGATGTTTGCTTTGCAATACCACTGGGAGGGGGAAAAAAATCATGGTTTTTAAAAGAATAAATGTAGGAAGCCAATATAAAGTGAAGAGGAAATAATGACTTCAAGCATTTATTCAGTCACATTGTGCGTGACTTCTGAACAATAAAAATATCATTTACACTGCATGCCAAGCAGAAGGAAGAGTCTCTGACCTGGTGTACCAAGTAAGGGTAAGAAAGGCAGAAGTCTGTCTTTTTACTCTCAGTGGAGCATCATCCTCATCAAACAAAAATCAATTTAGAAAATTATATCTCAAATCTGTTTCCAAAGTGTTCAATAATTTGGGTCTGCCCTAACAATATGAGACACATCCATCATCTGTTTAAGCAAGAAAGCTCAATTTGGGAGGACCTGGGGAGTTGGCTGTTTATATATTGGTCACATAGTTTATTATTTTCAAAAATCCTTGATATTCTATCCCTTCTTAGAGCGAAAACCCAAAAGACTCCACTTGTACAGAAATCAGGATTTTCCAAACGTGCCAAACACAAGGGTCACCTATTGAAATACACGTTCCCAGACAGCTCCAGGGGATCAGCATTTTGAGTAAGTGACTCCAGTCATCAGATAAGCTTGAGCAATACTTCCCATACCCATTCTCAGCCCTGACCTGTACTGCAGTCTTATATTTATAGAGAATATAAAAAGCACATAAAGGTGCAAGGAACTGAGAGAGTAGCATATACCTTACCATATGTAAAATGACAGCTAATTGGAGGCTGCTATATAACAAAGGAAGCTCAACCTGGTGCTCTGTGACTACCAAGAAAGGCGAGATGGTGGGGGGTGGGAGGGAGGGTCAAGAAGGAGGGGACTTAGGGCTGATTTACGTTGCTGTTTGGCAGATATCAACACAACATTGAGAAGCAATTACCCTCCAATTCAAAATAAATTTAAAAAAAAGAAAAGCACCTGATACCCAGCCCCACCCCAGACAAAGTGCACCAGCCTCACTGGAGGTGGCCTGGTCATTTTTGTTTTTCAAAAGCTACTCAGATCTGCATCAGAAGAAGAGCTTTATTGAAGATCATCAAAGCTCTTCTATTATAGCAGCTCTCAACAGAACAGCTCAGCTGGTAAAGAATCCACCTGTGATGCAGGAGACCCCGGTTCAACTCCTGGGTTGGGAGAATCCCCTGGAGAAGGGATAGGCTACCCACTCCAGTATTCTTGGGCTTCCCTGGTAGCTCAGACAGTAAAGAACAACGCTCCTGCAATGCGGGAGACCTGGGTTCGATCCCTGGGTTGGGAAGATACCCTAGAGGAGAGCGTGGCAACCCACTCCGCTGTTCGTGCCTGGAGAATCCCCGTGGACAGAGGAGTCTGGTGGGCTATAGTCCACGGGGCCTCAAAGAGTTGGATGCGACTCAGCACAGCAACAAAACACCTATCTTTCCACCCAGGGAAGGATGGAGTTTTGCTCCTCTCTCTCTTCCCATTACTTCACCACCAAAAGCAACTCATAGTCTGTCTTTTCAGAGGACTTTTTCTTTATCCTCTTGGCCACTGGAAGCCAGGTGAAGAGGGAAAGGGTTAGGTAAACCTATCCATTCAAAAATCATTTATTAAAGCATTTAAACAGTGTACGCTGCTCTTACGCAATCAAGTGGCCCAGAAAACTTTAATTGGTAGTTTGTTTCATGTCCCATAATCGAAAACATGAAGGATCACTAACATTCACATCCGTGAATTCATTTAGACAGTTTAATTAACGATGAAGACACTACAGTTCTAAGTGCCAGACAGAATCAGGGGGGAAAGAAAAACTGAAAAATAAGCATAACACTCTAAAGGAAACTTGGAAAAAGTGAATCTAAATAAAAATATAGACCTGGCCTGGTACCCATTACATATATACATCATACGTATGTTATACACATATATACAGTAAATGTTTTGGTAGCAATACAGACCATGCATTGGTCCTTTTGAACACAGATGAAGCAGCACCAGAAGCAGCGCCACCATCTTAAGATGATTAAACCTAACTGCACACACATCAAATGAAAAAATATATATGTATTTAATTTGGCCCACCCTGTAGCCAAGAGGTGTAAGGAAAGAACTTTGTAAGAAAAATGGTTCAGGGAACTACATTCTTAAGCCAATAGCCAAATTCTAACAAGAAGGAAAAAAAAAAACACTAAAGATGTCCATACAAATTTTTCTGTTTACTGAATTTGTCCTATCACATGGCATCTTGAGCAACACTAAGGAAATTAACAACAACAAAAAAAACAGAAGTAAATAGCCAAAGTCTATAACACCAAGATCTCTTGGTATACACATCACAGATGCCACCAACACACTAGGAAGACAGCTCTCCAGCCATGCCTTATGTTTTTCTAATCATACTAGCTAATTCTAAGCTCTGGATTACTGATAAATTCATTAAAAGTAGGGTCAAACACCTCCAATATCATTCCACTTCCTCCCACCATCTAATTTGATGCTCTGGTTACAAGTAGGGAAGAAATCTAATATGTCATCTGACCCATACCTTGTCTGTCCACCCTCTGGAGACTGATTATATATACAGCTGTGGAGGGACCCTCATGATCCTCTCTGGCTTGGCTTTAGAAATGACCAATGGGCTCCAAGTGTTTAACCCGTCGATGGTCTACTGATTACAAGGCTCTATTTGCCCTCCATGACTAGGCTTACAGAATGGAAGTCTTTCCTCTTACTGTTGGCAAAGTCCTATTTCCTCACATCCCTGGGAGCGTATGCTTCTTCCTTTTGAATTTCTCAGCAAGCTATGTAAATGCAGCATTAACTCCAACGAACATATGCGAGGCCCTAGGAACGGTAACTTTCCTGTCAAGTCATCGCAAAGGATCGAGTGTCAATCTGGCCTCGATCCATTCTCCTTCCCATGCCTTCCAGAGGGTCTCACCTTTTCCCAGTCAAGGTCTCAATCCGTGAAGTGTTTCTAGTTTCATTGCCTCCCTGTGTGACAGGCCGACCCATAGAGCTCTGCTAAAGCAGCTGGAACACTGCACATTCATCTCATTTTTTGTGGCTCTGTCATCAGTGGATGATGACCATCCTCCCCCCATTTTGATACCACCCGTAGTAAATAAAAATCCGTTTTCAACTACATGGTATATTGCATTCAAGATGCAGGACTGAACAAAACAGGGCTTCAGCACTGTCAAATACTGTTTCTTACTGTTTAGTAAAACTGTTTAACACTTTAAAGATCTCACATTTAAAAGATAGCTAGAAGGCAAGCATCAGGGAAAAAAAAGTTTAAAATCTCTACTTTTGGCTAGATGATTTTGGGAAAATTCATTTTTTGCAGTCAATGTCAGTTCGTCAAGAGAGTCCCTGACCTTTGAAAGTTAGCAAGAAATAGCCACAAATGTAACATCAGTACTGAATTGTCATTATTGACTCAGGTGGTTGATCATTAATGGATTCTCTTCACTTTTAGCTGGTTCTAGGACCTTTTTTTTCCCCCCAGGATAAAGATATCATCAAAGTCATGGAACATATTTGTTCTTTCCACAAAGGAGAATTTTAAAACTCTGCCTAAGTCTCTAAGAAAGAACACTGTGAAAGGTTGGTCTCATGAAGAAAAAGTCACTAACTTATAGGTTAACTAGAGGCCACTAGAAGTCCCATTAATGTAAGCCCTTGGCTGGCCTACAAATACTTTGAAATGGATAAAAGCCAAGTCTCCCAAATAAGAACTGAACACAAGGACTTAGCAGCTGAAGGTCAACCCCTCACGGAGACAGAGCATGAGTTTTTGCCTTAAATACCAGCAACTTCCAGTTGTAAACGGGTGAAGTTTGATAGTACCAGCACACTAGGAACAGCTTAAATAGGAGTGTCTTACCTTTATACTACATGACTCAACAAAACAGACGAGAGAAACAGAAACCAAGAGATGTTTTTTCCAGTCCGGTTCATTTCTTGTTGTCACCCAAAATATGTTAATAATCCCACATGCAGAGGTACCTTGGTAATACATATTCAAAGTTTAGGTTCCTTGAGAAATAACCACCTTTATAGGGAAGTGGGTGGGGCTGACTTTGTTCACTGATCTCTCTCCTTGACCACTTATGTCCTCAAGGGAAGAGAGTGGGACAGCTTGCTTCCTTCCTACACCAGCGAGAGTATGAGTCAGAATACTTGAAAAATAAGAGCTTGACTAAGAAAGTCTTTTTTATGAAAGGGTACAAAAACAAAACACTTTCATATCAGATTTTAAAAATCAGTGGTGTTCCCTCCTAATAGGAAATGATGCCATTCAGCAAGTTCCTTGAAAACAATGGGTTCTTATGACTACAGACCTATTTATCTTATAAATTGATGAGCATGCAAATGCTTAGAATCTGCAATGGTGAACACTGTACAAGAGTCTGTGAGGTACCTGTCATCCAGCTGAATTAACAGTAACACGGGCCTCAGCAGGGGAAGGGGTCCACTGATTTCTATTCCCTTTTGAGTACAGTGGGGGGTTGGGGGGGGGTCCCTGACCCGTTGATGAGCAGCCACTGCGATGGCCCCCAACCCTGGCCCCTTCCTGGCAACCCCTCCCCCAACCAGGGAGCTCAACCCTTCAGTGAAAGAAAATCTTGCTCCTCTCAACAGCAGGGCTGGGGATTCCTGATAGAGCATTCACACAGACTCCAGGGGAGTCTGATACTAGACTTAATTCACTGAACTTTTAGGAAGTTTCCTGATCGAAAGATTCAAAACTCTGTAGGCAATTTCTTTTAGTACGTTCATTGCCATTTCTCTTTCACGAGGAAAAATTCTAAGATGTGTGTGCTTTCCAAACAAGAAAAGGATTAACATTTTCACTGCTGGCTAGATGTTTCCCTAGCAGGTCATTATGCTTTGATGCGCTCTCTGCACCCTTTTTTTATTAACTAATCACACACCAGTAGCCTGGTGGCCAGGCTACTGGCCAGGCCAGTAGCCACCAGGGCCAATGGACCAAATTACATTCAGTTAAATAATGTAACACTGGACGTTCTCAGAAAACATGAGATAAGAGTCTTAAGGAAAGTGACATATAGTCCTGGTCATCGTGAAAAACATGTTCTGGAATTTTAATTTCTGGTTAGAAATGAAAGACAAGTACTCACTTGTCTTACATCTTTCTTGAGACAATGCAGGAAATGAAAGATCCTAACGTGTGCAACAGGAAAAAAAATTTTGGTGGCAACAGGAACAGGAAGCTTACAGAAGTGGGGGAAGGGGGAGAAGAAAAGATCAACAGTCTCTAGTTTATTATGAATAGAAAGAAATTTCCAGAATTTACAAACACCCACATTATTCATTCCAAAGAGAGCTTTTGATTCAAAGGGATCACCCATGTCTCCTCCTCTTTACAGTATATACAAAGGAAGACACTGATTGCCTTTTCTTGTAATTTTGCTTCCATTCAATTGCCAATTTTAAGCTGACACTTGAAAATACCCAGCAGAATATATCCTTCAGTTTCATTAACATGGCCTATTGCCTTACAGAAAAAAAAAAAAAAATACAAAATTAAGATCAATTCTCGTAAGGATCTCAGCTCAACATCAAGGCTATATTACAAGAGATAGTATCAGCAAATAGAACTATACAATTGAGAACCAAAATCTATGGCACTATGATTCTTATTATATTACTTTTCTGAATTACAATCTTAAAACAAGGATCGTACCCTATTCTACTCTTGTTAGCCTTGTTTTAAGCATTTGCTCCACTCTTTACAATAGAACACTGTATACCTCAGTTCCACATCCCCCCCAAAAAAGATGTGCTGTAAGAAAAGTTACATTTTAATTAAAAAAATTACACATATAAATCAAAAACCTATGTTAAATATTTAATACTCTCTCCACCCAACGCGAACAGTTCCAAGGAAATAATTTACAATGATGCTCTGTCGTACATGGTTTCAGCAGCAGATGAAATGTGTCTTGTAAATGCAATGAGCGTAAACTCATTCTCTTGTGGCACGGTGGCCCATCAGCTCATGTGGCCAGCTAAGTCCTTAAGGTTGAAGATGAAGTTTATGCAGACTCATTGTTCTGGGGTCACAGTGCTTTTTTCTTGGCACGATATAGAACGTGCAGTTCAGTCAACAAACTCCTGAGGATTGTGTAAAGTAAACAAACTGAAATGGGTGCATCGTACCATCTACTGAGGAGGAAGATGTGAGGTCCTGGTTGTGAATCATGAAATATTTAGAGTCTGGGTACCCATGAGTTAAAGGAGGATTTGCTGAGGTCATTTAGGTCTTCATTCTGAAAAGAAAAATGAAAGAATCTGTCATCATCAGCATCTCAAAACACACGTTCAATCATTTTTTTAGGGTTATTCTTTAAAAAGGGACAGCGGGACAGCATGGGATAAACTGAACTTACAGGCACAAGCAGTACTGAGTACTTCAGAAAAATAAACAAACTGTATTTAACTTCTTTTTTTCTTTCAAAATGCAAGAGTCTAAAGCAATCACAAACTCACAATAGTCAATATTAAGTCAGCAAACCAATCGATGTGGTTTGGAGGTTTCAGAGGTTTAGCAACACAAAAACACAGAACACTTTGATGTTCTTATGATCAAAATAAAAACGTCCACTGCAGCTTTCATGTAAAACAACTACAAAATATGGTAAGCAGGTTACCGTCAGGCTATGCTTAATCTTCTTTTGATTAAAAGGCAACTGGAGATTTTAGAATTTGAAGTTGCAGGGTTTTCCCATTATAAAATCTGAAATTGGTTTTTAAGTTGACATTGGTTGATAGGAAAATTCTAGATGCAAAAGAATGTCTAAGCAAAAGAGACCTAATTAATCTTCAAATTTAAAAAGGGGGTTCTAATTTAGGTCTAACAGAGACAAGTTATTCTGGCAGAAACACAACATTTTTTCTATGCAGTTTAAAAGTAGATCACAATGAGTGTTACCCATTCCCCTCAGAAGGAGACCCCTTCTCAACCTTATAAAGTCTCATTTGCTCTCAAGTCTTAACATTAGATAGTCCTTCTGAGGGCCTTATTTTTCACATATCAAAAAGGTATCTATAGAAACATCAATATTTATAGGATGTCCTAAAAGCAGGAGGTGGCACAGCAGAGCTAATCAATAAATACCTGTCAAATAAGTAAATGGTTGCATTAAGTACTATCGAGGCTACAATGGTGAATTCTGCTATAGGCTCTGCTTTCCAGAAATTCTAGCAAGGAATGTAAGCTTCATTCACAAATAGAGAGAATGCAAAGTAAAAACAGGATGAATTCCACAAAAGGTGCAGTAGGCAAAAAACTGTTTATCACTGGCCCCCAATCTTTTTGGCACCAGAGACCAGTTTCATGGAAAACAATTTTTTCCAGGGCTGCAGAGAAAGGATGGTTTTGAAGTGATTCTCATAAGGAGCATGCAACCTAGATCCCTTACATGCACAGTTCACAGTAGGGTTCACACTCCTATGAGGATCTAATGCCGCCACTGGTCTGATGGGAGGCAGAGCTCAGGCGGTAATGCCAGCAATGGGGAGCAGCTGTAAATACAGATTAAGCTTCCCTGTCTCGCTCATCCATCACTCACCGCCTGATGTGTGTTCCAGTTCCTAATGGTCTACAGACCAGTACCAGTCCGTGGTCCAGGGGTTAGGGACTCCTGCCCTAGATGTACAGAGGAGGGAAGAACGTTTCTAGCTGGGAGTGTAAAGTAAGCACTGCACTGACACACTCGGCTTGGTTTGGAAGCCATGGAAGGGTCTGGAGATGTGGAAATGGTGTTTCAGCAGTGGCACATAGCAGGAACTCACTAAATATGAGTGGAATGAATGAAAGGGACAAGGCATACGTCCCACGGAGGGCACAGGACAAAATAAGCCCCGGGGGGATGAGCACACAGCCCTGGTTGGGCCAAGTGAGGAAGGCAGTTTTGTCAGGGTATCTGCAAAGGGGAAAGAGGAGAGACGTCTACAAACATAGGTGTGTAGATGGTAAGGGACCGTGAATGACAGACCAAGACGTCTTTAAGTAAGTGAAGGGACCACAAGGACATGCTTTGTGATATGATCAGCACACAGCAGTAATGATCCATGTCCACGACAAGGACAGCAACAGACCTGAAAGTCCACACAAGGTAAATGTTGACCAATGCAAATTTTTTCTTTCTTTCTCTGCCTCTCTCCTCTTTGCAGGAGAGCATGGCTGGGACCCACCAGCATTGATCGTCTAACCACTGAAAAAACCTGAAAGAACCACTTTCAGGTAAGCTGAAATTTACCAGATGAGGATTCAAGTTTTACTAAGAGATTTCTGTTCATTTCACAGTATTAACTTCAGCCCTAAATGACAGATAAAGTCTATGTTTCTACTTACAAAGAAAGACTTGACATGGAGACATGAAGGTAAAAACAAACAAACAAAAAAGCAAAAAGCCAGGCTTATCTCTTTCATTATCAGAGACAGGATTTACTTCGTGTGGTTGCTACAAGTGAAACAATAACCTAGCCTTTCCAAAACCCCAGAGATCTTACTTTCAAGTTTCTTCTAAATCCATATTGCAATCTATCAAAATGTTCCTACCAGGATATCTATGTACAGCTTAACACAGCTTCATACATCCTAAAATTAGGTAGGAAGGCCATGTTTTATTAAAAGGCTTGAGACAAACATACTGCCAATTTAAAAAGTCAAGGGTATGCTTTTGATTTTACATCTGGCTCTTATCCAGAAGAGCTGAATGAACAGCTTAGCACAGGAACAAACTATAACCAGTTGTGTCATCACACATGCGAACCTGCATGGATGCACAAGGGCGGAAACTGGGGCCCCTTTGAGGAGAGGAAAAGAAAAATATATGGTCCCTGGAGGCTGAAATCTATTGCTTTGGACCACACACACATACCCTTGCACCCTTGAAACCATCCTGGTAATTTTTCACAAGTAGTATGTTCAAAGGGCAGGAAATCAAAGGATATATCAATTCTATCATACACTGTTCCCTCCAAAAAATTTTGGCATACTACTTTTCAAAGCCTTTATCGTAAATCCTGATCAACACAGGCCTCAGTCACTAATGCTACCTACCAGTGCCAGCTGGTCTATGAATAAGGTAAGTGAGACAGTGGTAGGTAAGGCTGACGTGGAAGGGATAGGAGCAGAAGCTATCAGTAAGCAAGAGAGGAAAATTTAAAGGGACAGTCTGAAGTTTGCCCACTGTTTATTTCTGTGCAAGGGTGTGTGTGTGTCTGTACATAAAGTTTAGCTACTGAGTAAACAAGACAGATTTTTCACAAAGAACCTCAGTGAGGGCTCTTGCACACAGCCACCTCAGATCTGCATACTTATTCCAAGCATGCAGCATTGTTCAAAGCATTTTTGGAATGCCTTCTTCAAGTCCCCTTTCTTTCTTACAACTGCCTTCTCAGCTTTGGGCATATCCTTTTGAATGGTCTCTATAGCAGCCAGCTTGGCCCTTGGAGGGCACATCTGATCTTTGGAGACAGTCAAAAAGCTCTGAGACCCAAATATGGTGAACAAAAGAGCTGATTAAGCTGGGTAATGGTTCCCAGTGAGGTATTATCTAAAGTCAAAGAACTCCAAAACTAAAGTTTCAAAAACATCACTGTAGAGTTTTGTTGGAAAGGAACTGTCCTAACTTTACAGACAGACCTTACAGATGCCTCATGGGACTTCAGTTTATCTGTCTATATCCCTACCACTACACACTTGCAATCCATATGGCTGAGCTTGAATAAAGCAACCCACTTGAAGAAGGGCACCCATGTCAATTTGTTTGCATGCATGGCATGATATAGTGACTAAACGACAAAAATAAACATCATCTATGAATGTATATTCATACATTTTTGCAACTTGGAAGTATGTTTAAAAAAACAAAAAGCAATACCTGTCCATTCTGAGCTCCTATAGTCATTAAATGCAATAAACATCTGTTGAGTAACACAAATACAATGGTAAAGACTGTAATACATACTGAAAAAGACAACATGGGTAAAGTGTATTTAATGCACTTCATATATACAATTTCAAGACTCCCAATCAACCACACAAGGCAAACATTGCTAGGATGTTTTACAAAAACTCATTTGTAGCACTCATAAACTGGAAACAAGAAAAAGCAAAACATATCCTTGGAGAAGAACTGTGCAAATATCAAATGGTGATGTTCCTGTGATATATTCTCTCGAGTTACATCACTGGGGAATAACTTTTGAACCCAGAAATACGATGCACCTGTCACAAGATTTAGTAGCAGGAAATTACATTTTGACAAAAATTTCATCACCACATCAGCATCTATGGTCTGCATGTGTCTTCTCACAGGATAAAATCCGCCTAATCCTGTTGCCAGTAATGAAAAATGTAATTTTTAAAGCATTATCAAATAAGTCAACACTTGACTATGCTACTTGAGACCTATGGATTATTGCATTATTGTATCCAGTAGGAATTTACATCTCCTGGACTCGACCCACTTAAACTCTTGGCTAGAGCTGAAAAACAAATAAAGCTTCTGCTGCCTTTCACACTGTCTCGGCCTACTGATTAGTCTCCACTGGGTGAGCAGCTGAAATAGCATACAGTTATGATATAAGTACAAAACAAGGATCTGCGCCTTTTCAGCAATGCATTTTTAGTCAAACCCACTGTCTAAAAGTTTTTATCTTGTATTTAAACACCTTGAAACTTCCTGCCAACTTGTTAAGTGCAACATAGTTGAAATACCTGGTTAGAACATCACTTTTTACTTTACTAAGAAAACAGAAGTAAAAATATTGTAAATTGCTTGACTGTTGTCATGCACTAAAATGTAGCCAGAAGGAAACTCTTCCTCATCCAACTATGGCAGAAAAAAAAAGACTCTAGTAATGACTTTTCTTCAATAGAGATCATTGTTTGAGATCTCACACTATAGACTCAACTAGAAAAATTCATACAACTAAATTCCTCCACTTGAAGAAATGTGTCAAACAGCATATTTCTCGTTCGCTTAACATAAACAGCTGTGACTAGAAAAAAAAAAAAAAACTTCAGCATAATAATGAAAATTAAAGAGATAGTAAATGTAAGGAAGGAATAAACATAATGCATTAGAATCATTACAATTCCTGTCACCTAAGGAAAACTACTATTTAGCTACGGTTCTGATTTCATTATTTACTTAAAAATTTTGAACTTTTAATATTCTATATCTAATGTCAAAGATGTTTAAGTAGTGAGGAAGATAATGCTTTAATAGATTTAGTATTTAGATCTTCCCCATTC